TATGTGTGTGTGTGTGTGTGTATATGTGTGTGTGCTGTGTGTGTATGTGTGGCGTGTGTGTCGTGTGCATGGGTGTATGTGTGGCGTGTGTGGCGTACGTGACGTGTGTGTGGTGTGTGTGCATTGTGAATTGTAAGTAAGAGGGTGGTCAGTGTGTCATGGCCGTACCTCTATCTAACCAGGTAGTGTTGGTTTAACCGATGCTAACCTGATCTTCGGGAGCTTAGTCGTGTCCAATGTAGCCGATCCAACGATAAATAACCTGTCGTTCACACACACACACACACCTCTAGCCGATCCAACACGATGACATTCGGCTATCTGTCGTTTACACACCTCTAGTGATCCAACGATGACACTCGCTACCTGTCGTTCACACACTCTAGCTGATCCAACGATGACACTCGCTACGCTGTCGTTCACGTGAAGAACACCTCTAGCTGATACCAACGATAGACCTGTCGTTCACCGACACCTCTAGCTGATCCAACGATAACCTGTCCGTTCACTGACAAACTCTAGCTGATCCAACGATGACATCGTTACTGTCTTTAGCACACCTCTAGCTGATCCCAACGATGACATGCGCTACTGTCGTTCAGCAACAGCCTCTTACTGAATCCAACGATGACCTATCGTTACCGTGTCGTTACACACCTCCTAGCTGATGCAACGATGACACTCGCTATCTGTCGTTCACACACCTCTAAGCTGATCCAACGATGACATCGCTACCTGTCGTTCACACACACACACCTCTAGCTGATCCAACGATGACATCGCTACCTGTCGTTCAACACACCTCTAGCTGATCACCGATGACATGCTGTTACCTGTCGTTCACACACCTCTAGCTTGATCCAACGATGACTGTTACCTGTCGTTCACACACAACACGCCTTCTCTCACGGCGACTCGGCCGCAGCAGTCCGTTGGTTCACTGTACTAGGAAGCCATATCGCCCCCATGCTTGCGCATGAACTCGCGCAGTTGCGTACGCCCTCTGCGATGCGATGTTAGTTTCTCCGACTCGCTCGTCCACGGGGCGTGCGCAGCGTCTTCGCAGAGTCCGCGCGGTATACGTCAGCAGGTTGTGGCTTACCGACGAGTGGCGACGCCAGGTCGGCGTGCGCTGGCGCGCTACGTACTCCGCACTCTCTGGCGCGACCTCGTCGGTGGCGACGGGGCCGTAGAGGCGCCGCGCGATGCGACGGGTCGGCGGCAACGTCCCTCGTAGCGAACCACCCTCGTAGGTGGCGCCACCGCGGCGGAGGGTGCGCTTCGCGCCGAAGTCCGGTAGGCGAGGCAGCATTTTGGTGCACGATGTCGTCATACGTTGCTCGCCAGGTTGCTCCGGTAGAACTTTGAGGGGAAGCTTCTCAGCCAGGAGTTGAGGCGGCGCGCGCGGTGTCGCGCAGCGGAGTGCAGGATGTGCAGGAGGGCAGCGTGGTGGCGCGCAGGAGGGGCGACTGTGGCGCAGCGACGCCATAACACCTTGGCGATCGCGCAGCGGCGCCGCGCGGCCGTCGCGCGCATGCTCTCCGCTCCGTCGAGCGTACGACGCGGCAGCGGCTGATGACGGCGTCTTGTCCTCATTGTTGCAGGCCGAGGCGGCCGGTGCAAGCCGCGCGCGTGTTTCGGAAGGCGCAGCGCTCGAATTGCTGTAGTCGGAGCGGCGCGTATCGGACGGCGAAGCGCCGGATTTGTGCGCGTACCGGCACTCAGGAAGCCCATCGAAGCGTGTCTGCGCGGACCCGGCGGTGGCCGATCTCCGTCGCCGAGAGCATGTCAGCGACTTTGCCTGCCACTGCTGTAGTGCAGGGCTCGTCCGATGTAGAACGCCGCCGGTTAACGTTGAACAGCTCACCGATTGAAAGTCGAGCCGACGGCGTAGAGGCGACGATGGCGACGGTAGGTGGCATTATCCGTGCCGGCAACGGCGCGCGGCAGCGAGGTTTCGTTCGGCGTGTATCTGCCTAGAGGGCGGCTGGCTAGCGCGGGCGAAGAATGCAGTGGCGCGGCGTAGTCTGGGGAAGGGCGGGGAGGAAGAGAGAAGAGACGTGAGAAAGAGAGAAGCGAGAGAACGGCGTGGCCGCGTGTGGCGGGTGGCGCGAGTCGAGCGTGTGTGATTGCGTAATTGACGCGTGTAGTTATGTACGTATTCACAATGGGGTGTATTTACGTATCCAGGTGTATTAGCGGTATCCAGGTGTATTACGTTATTCACAGGTGTGTTACGTAATTTCCAGTGTATATCGTTTATTCACAGGTGTGTTACGTAATTCAAACAGGTGTATTACGTATTCACAGGTGTATTAGCAATATTCACGAGGTGTATTACGTATTCACAATGGTGGTGTCTATTGTTATTCACAGTGTAGTTACGTATTGCACATGGTGTATTCCGTATTCACAGGTGTATTACGTATTCACAAGTGTGTTACGTATTTCATGTCGTATATCGTATTCACAGGTGTGTTAACGTATATTCACAGGTGTATTAACGTATTCAGCAGGTGTATTACGATATTTACAGGTGTATTACGTATTCACAGGTGTATTACGTATTGCACAGTGTATTACGTATTCACAGGTGTATTACGCTATTCACAGTGTATTACGTATTCACAAGGTGTATTACGTATTCACAGGTGTATTACGTATTCACAGGCTGTATTACGTATTTACAGGTGTATGACGTAATTCACAGGTGTGTTTACGTATTCAAGCGAGGTGTATTAGGCGTATTCAGCAGGTGTGTTACGTCTTTCATGTGTGTATATCGTATTCACAGGTGTGTTACGTATATTCACAGTGTTTAGGTATTCAGCAGGTGTTTACATTATTCACAGGTGTATTACGTAATTCACAGTGTGTTAAATGCATAATGACTAATATATATTTGTCATTATACGCTCCTGATATGACGAATCAGCGACAACAATGTTCAGTCCTTCAAGAGACGTGTGCATCAACACCTGTAACATGTGCATCAACAGCTGCTACTGACGCTATGATGAAGCTGATGGCACTCTGTCATTCCCCTAAGCTGCTGTCAACCATTGATTGGCCCGTGAGGATGTCTCTCATAGTACGCTGCAGCTTCCTATACTTGAGTTTGGCTTTTCTCTCACCTTATGGGCTTAGCTATTGTTCACCATAGCACGATATTAAAAAAAGAAAAATCAACAGATGAACCTTGATGATTTCAGCGATGCAATTATAGACGTTTGTGTATGCGTGCTAGGTTCACATTCTGACCAGACAGATCACGAGTAAAGCGAGAAGTATTTTTAAGAGTTGCCTTATAAGTGCCGATCCCACACTAATTTCTTGTCATGTGCTGGCTAGACCGTGACTTAGTCTTAGATCGTCAAGACCACGGGGTTCTTAACCTGTGGTCCATGGAAGCTTTGGGGGTCCGTGGATGGACATCAGGGGGTCCGTGGATGGACATCAGGGGGTCCGTGAATCCCGTTGTATGCAAAATGTTGTGTTTATGTGCTTATGTGAATTTTTCTGGGGAGTGGTTCGTAGCTTTCACCAGATTCTCGAAGGGGTCCATGTCTCAAAAAAGGTTAAGAACCACTGGTCTAGATGGTACAAATCAAATCTGACATTTAATGTTCATAGGCTAAACAAATATCACTCGAATCAAACTCAGATGAAAAGCAAGGGGTGGTAGGTGAACGGTATTCGAACGTATAGGGTGCACGCCCGAGTAACGGGGGATGGGACGCGTAAGGGACATGTATCAAATACTCAAACGAGGATGAGACAGAAAGTTAGGTACACCGGGAATGACAGATCGGACCAGGAACGAGGGAGCGACAGAAGACAAGATGAACGAGGAATGACAAGTGAGTGATGCAAACATGAATTGAGAGCGGGGAGGAACGAGGGAACGACAGAAAGAAAAGAATGAGGAATGAGAGCGAGTAATGCGAACATGAAATCACAGACCAGATAAGGAGAATGAGGGAACGCTTGAGAGTAAGGTAAACAAAGTAAGGTAAACAAGGTAAGGTAAACAAGGTAACTGCGCACCGAATAGGAAACTCCCTAATTGACCTAGCGCTACCAAAACCAGGTCACTACGACCTATATTTGACCTTTACCTTGACCTTGATCATATTTCCCTTCCGCTCTATAACTGTGCCCCTAATTAACATAGCGCTACCAAACTTGGTATACTTACACATCTTGGGGAGAAGGTGTGTCGCGTACCAAAACCAGGTCACTACGACCTTTATTTGACCTTTACCTTTACCTTGATCATGTTTCCCTTCTGCTCTATAACTGTGCCCCTAATTAACTTAGCGCTACCAAACTTGGTATACTTACACATCTTGGGGAGAATGTGTGTCGCGTACCAAAACCAGGTCACTGCAGCTTTTATTTGACCTTGACCTTGATCATATTTCCCTTCCGCTCTATAACTCGGCCCCTAATTGACCTAGCACGACCAAACTTGGTATACTTACACATCTTGGGGAGAAGGTGTGGTGCGTACCGAAACCAGGTTACTGCAACCTTTATTTAACATTGACCTTGACCTTAACCTTCATCATATTTCCCTTCTGCTCTATAACTCGGCCCCTAATTGACCTAGCGCGACCATGCTTTCTATACTTACACATCTTGGGGAGAACACGGGGGATACGTGTATTTGGCGACAAATGCCCTTTCTAGTTATAATCATGGATGCCAGTGACAAGAAAAAAAGAATAGCAATTGCAATCTTATTATTAATGAAATCTAAAAATGAGCAAACACACGCAGTCATCGACAGTCAAGCTGCATTACTGCTTGAAGAGAGCCATAGCCATAGGCATAGGCATAGCAAACGAGACAAGGTTCCTCGGATCGACAATCATGTTGAGGTCACCGTTCAGAGCTATTCACCCTATGATTTTAAATCCCATTTTTGCCTGGAGAGGGAAACATTCAACCTGTTTGTTACTGAGTTAAGCCAGCATGAAGAGATGCAGACGACTGCAATGAATTGTGGGATACTTCACCAAGTGAGCGGCTCGGCTAGCCAAAAGCGGGTTACTTCGGCCTCACCCGGGTAACGCAAAAATACCACGTGACTGCCAAATCGAACGTATTTGGGGCTGGCCCGAGTAGACCCAGGTAAACTTGGGGAAGCAAATCGAACGCACTATTAATTCAATTATGTCATGTGATGTCATCAGGCTGCTATCGCAGCAAATGATCTAAGAATCTTTATCTCTCGTATAATGTCATTTTTTGACATTTATGTTTTTTGCAGGAATGTAGAAGAAATTACGGGCGCCGCAGAAATGTTGGGAGGGCGTGTGAAGACCTTGCATCCCGCTGTGCATGCTGGTAGAATCCTGTATAACTATTGCAGAATTTACATACATATCGCAGCCCTACATTGGGTAGACCGCATGTCTTGCAGCACTAATGTTGTAGTTGTAGCACGTACAGTATTTATATGATGCAAAAACATTGGGTATTGTGGGGTATACCCTTAATTAAATGTGACACAATGCAAAGTGGTAACTTGTATAACGAAAATTACTTTTATAATTAGCCGATATGTTTCTTTACATAATATTGAATTAAATTGAAATAATTTTGAATAATTTCATTACATAAATATTGAATTATTTCCAAATGCTCATCGGCAACACACTGTCACACGCTGGCCGCCGCACGCTAGCTGCTGCACACTGACGCTGAAGGGGTCGTTGTCGTATCAGGTACTACAGATATGTACCCTAGGTACGTATATGTATGTATACACAAGTGTACCAGACCTGTATCTTCTCAGCATATATGTACCCTGTGTTTACATAAACGTACCTGCCCCTGAAATTGAGATCGAATGAAGACGGTCATGGGGGAAGAGTAGGGGGCAGGAGGAGGAGGAGGTGGGGAGAAGGTGATGGAGGAGGAGGAGGAGGAGGAGCGGAGAAGATGATGGAGATCAAAAAAAGAAGGTAATGGAGGAGGAGGAGGAGCGGAGAAGGTGATGGAGATCGAATGAAGGTCATGGAGGAGGAGTAGGGGCAGGAGGAGGAGGAGGAGGACCTTTTTTTATTGAGACGTTCCAAGTGCTTGTGGGCATCATCACTACTAATACTACTGCTACTACTGCTGCTCCCCCGCACAGCAGCATACGCTGCAGTCGCATCGCTGGACTTTACCTTGCTCTTGAGTGCCTGGACTTTAGCCTAGCGCAGACCTTCATGCAACTCGACAGCGATTCTAGAATTGCTGTGAAATCGCTACGTCAGCGGGAACGTGCAACTGCAACCCGTAGCGATTCTGGTTCAGCGACTCGTCGCTCCCAATCGCCTCCAAATTGCTCTATAATTGCTTCGAAATAGCACGTGTGCGGGTAGACAGCTGCTTGTCAGGATGGAAAATCACCGCTTTGAACAAATCACATGACCAAAGCCATTTCGCTAAATGGTAGGCATGCATGCAGTCGCTTGCATGCGCACACGCGGTGAAACGTGCGCTACCGATCGCCTGCGGTTGCAGGTATTGTACTGCGAAAAGGTAGATGAACTCAGCTCCGGAATCGTAGCAGCTCAAGGACAAGTTCAAGTAAAATTTATTTTCATCGGTATATAATGAACATTATTAACATGAGCTAAGAGCAGCGTGGTAGAGATGTTTCGTAGATAGCAAGGTAGAGTAGCAGCGTAGTCGTGTAACAAACAGTAGTCATGTTGTCAGGATACTGATATTATTGTAGTGCGATTTAAGTTGGAGATCTCAGTGTTCTCATAGGGTCGACAGCGTAGTAGCGATGTAGCAAATAGCAGATTGTAGCAAAGTAGATGAGATGTAGCGAAGAGTAGCAGCGTAGTCTTGTAACAAACAGTGGAGATGACGTAGTCGCAGATTCGTTGTTGAACTGGGACTTTATTAGTACTTGACACATACAAATATATTTACAACACACATACTAAATACAGCCTAGGTCCCGTGATCTCCGTTTCCGTGGGCCTCTCTGCATCGTAGCTGTGTATCTATTTATCTAGTATCTCTTTTTTTTTCTCTGTCCGAGCGCCTATTTGTATTCATTTCAACACGTCTCGGCCGTCACCTCAATCTGACCGGTTTTCGTCAATTACCCCTGATACCCTATTACCCTGACGGGGCTAGGGTTCGCGGTGGCCACGAATAATATGTGCCACACGATCATCACAATAACAACAACAATCTACCAGGGCCAGAAGCACAAGACAATTAGTCCCACTGCCTCGTATGGTTAGAAGCCCCTTGTTAATTAGCCGCAATATGTACCATACAACACAGGTTGCAGCGACGAGCAACCAAAAATCGCAGGTCTTAAAGCCAAAGTTCAGCGACCCTTCGTCACTCGTCTACTCGTCACTTGTCGTCGTCACATGCGACGCCGTCGTCTTCATGTTGACAATCGCGGTGGCGGTGGCGGCGGCGGCGGCGGCTGCAGGGGGCGTGGCCTGACTCGTGACGTCGGCTGTGTGTTTGCGACGTGTTTCTGTCATCGGGTCGACTTCGTTATCGGTAGGGGCTGATCAATAACACTCACTCTGCAATCGTACAATATTATAATATAATATAAGAGAAGGGAGGAGGAAGGAGAGAGATAATAATATATATATATTGCGCTAGTGAGCCGTACGTACGTCTGTCTGTCTGTCTGTCTGTCTGTCTGTCTGTCTCTCTCTCTCTCTGTCTGTCTGTCTGTCTGTC